CAGAGAGAGATCACAAGCAGGCAGAGAGGCAGGCAGAGAGGCAGGCAGAGAGAGAGGAGGAAGCAGGCTCCCTGCTGAGCAGAGAGCCCAACGCGGGGCTCAATCCCAGGACCCTGAGATCATGACCTGAGCCGAAGGCAGCGGCCTAACCCACTGAGCCACCCAGGCGCCCCCTTTACTCCCATTCTTATTTAATCGTCAGAACAACTCTGAGGAGGACCGTAACTACCCCTGTTAAAACCTGAGGAAGCTGAGGTTGAAACATAGAAGTGGCTTTTTCAAAGGCACGTAGCTAAAATATAGTAAAGACTGAGTCTGGGTGTATCTGACAATGGACCAAGGTGCTTAACTACTATACCAAATTAGTTCCAAGAATTTCTAGATTCTCTGAGTTTTGGGATGGTTGCCAGGTGTCTAGGCAAAGAATTGGTTTTGAAATCACTCCAATACTCTTCTAAGATAGTTTTAGGATTAAATTTGATAGTTCTGCTTGTGCTGTGGTAGTCCAGAGAAAATTTCTTTTGGTAATGTAGATAAGTAATCAGAGGAATAGACACATATGCTATTTCTGGTTAATGTTTTACTCAAAATATTACAGTAATAAGCCAAAGAAAAAAATAGATTTTTCATAGGAGAACTAGGTCTTGTGAAGAAAGGACCTTTCTTTTAAAGTCTAGTGTTTTTTAATTATTTAAGTGTCTCTTTAATAACTGAAGATTACCTAGGGAGAATGTCTATAATGCGCTGGGGAATTTGTGGGCAGAGGCATTTGCATTGCATAATCAAGGGCAGATAATCTCTTGGGCATCCCCCCTCGTCTCCCCTCCTCGTCTCCCCTCTTATTCCACCCAGATCTCTTCAGCAGCTCACCTGTAGGCCAGAGGTGGAGTCATCAGTATCCTCCGCACCTGTCCGCAGAAGGCAGGCAACCTATCCTTCTCTTTTTCCCTCTCTCCCACATTTTGAAAGCGTTGGAAGAAAAATTTTCTCTGATAACAATAATAGTTACCATTATTAAATATTTAACATTAAGCTGTGTTGGCACGATCTCCAGTTTTCACAACAACCTTCCTTAAAAATGAGAAATCCAGGGGCGCCTGGGTGGCTCAGTGGGTTAAAGTCTCTGCCTTCGGCTCAGGTCATGATCCCAGGGTCCTGGGATTGAGCCCCACATCGGGCTCTCTGCTCAGCAGGGAGCCTGCTTCCTCCTATCTCTCTGCCTGCTTCTCTGCCTGCTTGTGATCTCTGTCTGTCGAATAAATAAATAAAATATTTTTAAAAAATAAAAATAAAATTTTTTTTTTAAAAATGAGAAATCCAGGGCTCAGAGAGTAGCTTTTTGATTGACTCTGGATCATAAGCCTCTAACCTGTGGGTGAGTGATGACAGTTAGAGGGAAGAAAGGAGGAGCCAGTGGGGATAGGGAAGGTATTACTTGCCATTAAGCATACAGCAGAACTGAGATTCAAACCCAAATGCTTGGCTCTATAATATATGTTGTGACCCCAAGTCGTTTGGCTCTGAAAAGCCGAAGAGCGAGAACTAAGCAATTTAATTCTTGATGTGACACTACAATTCATTAACCACCTATGAGATAGTAAATCTACATATTGTATCTTAATTTCTTGGAATCAATTTTTATTTCATAACATATTTTTCAAGAATAGTATATAATATAAATTAAATTTATAAATATATAAGGAAATATTATGTTAAAATATTATAAATTCTGATTTCCCTATATCATTTGAAGAATTAATAAATTTTATGACCAAAATGCCTTATAAATACAATATTCCATTATTGAACACAACCAAAATACTGTGATTAGAAGTGATTATTCTGTTGTTGTTATAAAATTAACAAGTACATTATTTATCCCTACTGCTAAGGTAAATTGTAAGGATTTTCCCTCACCACTGAATCTATTTAACTATCAAGGCAGAGATCTATTAGACTACTTGGCCGTGTTTTTGTTCTCATGACACTGTTGCCTACAGTAATTTTCTTAGTCATTCCCAGGAAACATGTCCAAGAAGCAGAAATCAAATCATATTTGAAAGCTTTGTTTCTGGTGCATTTTATTATAAAACTGATTTGATACTGAAGTCCATTAAAATAAAAAAGGACCTGAAAAAAAAGAAAAAAATGCATCTATTTTGAGTTATTTTTCACCAAGAAAGGAAGGACCAGGGGATGATGGGAGCAGGAGTTTGGGAGCAAGAGACTGAGGCAGGTAGAGGCTCCACAGCCAATGGCTCCTTCCCCCACTTGTAAAATAAAATTCTGCAATTGGAGCCCTTGGCCAGGTTACACAAGCCATGAGAACTCAGGCTACACCGTGATGCTGGTAGCTCGGTGCTGGCTGGCGGCACTCTCCTACCGTGAACATGCACTTGGTCGGGACCAATCCTAGAATAAATTCTCTCTCTCTTTAAGACAAATGAATTTTTAATTTTACAATTTCTTTTAGATCTTGTAACTAAATACGTGTCTATGTGTATATGAGAAGTGTTATGAGTGTCTAATTTGCCTATGGCTATATATATATATATATAGTCACGGAGTTTTGTTCATAAGGGATTTTAAGAACTATCGATGGATCGATTGTTTAATTTCACTTACTAAAACATGTTTCTTCTTTTTGTTTTTGCTTAGGCTAATAATTGTGTATTAGTGCAATGATTCCATTCAGACATAATGACTCAATCAATTCAGTTCAACAAAAATTCATTGACTGTCATCCGCAAGGCACTGCTTAGCTCTAAGGAAGGTTAAAAAGACGAACAGACTCGGAAACAGTCATGGTCGCAACTATGAGATAAAAGAAGGAAAGTAAGATCAGTACCTTAGTGAAGGTATAAAGGCCTCTGTAATCACAGTATGGGGACAGCTAATTGCAGCTGAGTAGCACGTGCCTAATGGAAAAGCTGGAAAAGAAACCAGCTCTGAATACCTACATTGAAAACACGCTAAGTCCTTACCTACAGACATTATTTAATTCGGTCCCCAGCAAGTAGATGGGTATTATGAAACTTAGTGTTTACAAGTACCCTGGATTATTTTTCTTTCAATGACTGTGGTATATGAGGCCCAAAACTCAAGTAAAAAAGTAGAAATCCTGTCCCAACGTTAAAAATGTCACAGGTTTTAAAGGCAAGATTCACGTGACATGAACAAAAGGAGGCAAAGCCCAGGAACAGGTGCCCCGGCCCCAGCTGCTGATTGCTCGTGCCCTGCATGGGCTCCTCCTCCCAAGTGTCTCTGTGGAGCACTCGCGGGGCTGGTAGCTTCTCCTGGAGGTGTCTGGGCAGAGGACTCCTCCCGAGGAACAACTTGGCCATGCAGCAGCCTCTGGGGCTTTGCACAACCTGCTTCCGCTGCCTCAAAACTCTCATCCCCATGCTGTGTCTGTTGCGATCTGCTGACTCCCACTAGCAGGCACCAGCTTGTCTCCTCTGGGACGTCTTTGAGGCTCCCCGTACATACGTCCCCACCCTAGTCTGAATTAAGGGTCTCTTTTGAGGTCTCTGATCGCACCCTAGACGACCCGCATCGTAGCACATTTGAAACTATTCTCTGCAGTGCCCTTGCAGGCAGGAAATGCCTTGTTCAACCCCTAGCACAGCCACGGTACATCCCGGGGGCTCTTTATGGATTGAAATGTGTCTCCGCTTAAAAAGGATACATCGAAGTCCAAAACATTGTACCTCTGGTTGTGACCTTATTTGGAAATAGAACTGCTATAGATGGAATTAGTTAAATTAGTTAATTCTTACTGGATTAGGGTGGGGTGTCCTTTTGAGACAGCCAGGGGAAGACAGCCTCACAGGGAGAAAGCAAGTGCCTGTGCAGGCCGAGTTCGGAGTGACACAAATTGCCAGCGACCACCAGAGGCTAGGCGAAGGCAAGGGAGGGGTCCCCTCCGGGTCTCAGGGGGAGCGTGGCCCTGCCTACTCCTTGATTTTGGACTCCTAGCATCCGGAATTGTGAGACGATAAATACCTGTTGTTTTAAGCCAGCCGGTTTACGGTTGCCCTAGGAGAGCAGTGCAGTGCTCAGTACATTTGAATGGATGGCTGACTGATTTTGTACCTGCCTATGACAAATCTGTGTCTCTTCTGTTATTTCTCGCTTCTAGCCTTGATCTAAACAGAGCTGCTTTCATTTTATGTGGCCACTTGAAGTTGCAAATTTTATTTATCTGATTTTCAGGTTTTTCTTTTGTTCTCAAATAGTTGCAACGGCGATTTTCTGCCTCGATGTCTCCAAAACTGAACATAACTGGATTTTCTGAAAAAATTTTTGTACCTGTATTTGCCTCTCGTTTGTAGTCTATATAATTGATAAATCTTACACTAAATTAGTTTTTTACACTTAGGAAAATTTCCCTGAGAGCGTGTGTGTCTCAAAATCGAAGGCAGAGGAGAGATGAATGAGATTCTACATGTGACCTACTAAGGGCCTTCTTGTCACGGGCTTGGGTTGTGGGCTGCTGCTTGAGTTTGCTGACCTCGCTATTTAATGGCGGTTTATGGGGTGGACAGTGGCTGGGGTTTGTTGTCAAACAGAGCTGGGATCAACCACAGTTCGCCACTGTGGGCAAGTTTTTTAACCTTAGTGTCCTCCTTTGTAAAATGGGGTCATAGTAGTGTCAAACTTCTGAGTTATTACAAGAAAATAATGGCATAATGTACATACAGTTCTTAGCATAGTTTAAGTAGTAAAATCTTCATAAACGTTTTTAGATTATCAGATGGGCACCAAAAAATACACTTCCAATGAGTATCAAAGTCACATTATTTTATAAAGCAGTGTCCTCTGGAAGCAACTGTGTTACAAATGGAAAGTATAAATCTATCATGGAAAACAAATATTTTGAAATTCTACCAAAGATGCCAGAAAGGAAATGTAAAAACAAAAACAAAACTATCCTTTGCAGACAAAAGCTTGATTATTGAGTCAAAAAACTCACCCACTTTTTTTTTTTTTCCTTTAAGCAGGCTAAAAGGAGAGATGAGATTCTCCAACTCCTAAGAAAACAAAGAGAAGAAAGGATCTCGGTGAGACTGAGAGGCCTTCAGATGAATCTGTGTGGGGTTGCGGGGGGACTACGGCAAATTCTCAGAGGTTTTATGGATTGTCCCCATAAACCTAAATGCTCATAATCCAGAGCCTTCTATCTACTGGTGTGGGGGCAGGGGATAGACATCAGGCAGTCTCGTCATCCTTGAGAAATCAGAGTTCTCCAGAGTGTGCAGTTCTGCTAGGAGAGAAATGAGGTGGCCGTGACAGCAGGTTTGTCGTCCCATATGTTAAAGCTGTAGGACAGTCACATGGGCCTCCGTCACATGGGCTACTGCTCATCTTTGTTTTACAATGACTGATCTTGCTTAGATCATACAAAAACAAATGCTTAATGAAGAGAAACACAGAAAAATAGTAAAACAAATAACAGCACCCTATAAACTTATAGATGTACCAACACCTGCTCTACTGACTAACCCCTAAATACCCTTCATCTGGAACGTTTCTAATCCCAGTGTCTCCAGGTTTAAGAAGCTAGTCTGTACCAACTCTGATAATTAGACCTTAAGTTTGTTTTTTTTCCCCCAGCAAGGAAATGTCAGTCAGTGCAAGAAGTAAAAATTATGCTTTTTGAGTTCTGTCTTGTTTTGTTTTTAGAAAGAACTGGTTTCCCTTCCTTATAAGCCAAAGGCCAAAGTACACAAAGCAAAGTAAGTTTACGTCTGTCAAAAATGTTCTTAGCTTTCTAGTTCCCCCTTTAGAGAAGCACTTTTTTTGATACTCCCTTTGCCTCTTACCCTCTAGCCTTCTAAAAACCCTCCTGCTGTATTCACAGATTTCTTCCCTTGAATAAACCTTCTCCTCATCCACATTCAAGTGTGTGTGCCCATTTGCATCTCTGTGCGGTAGGCCTGGGTACAACGGTCAGACAGGACAGACGATCAAGCCAGAATCCCTGCACACATTCCCTACCCTGCCCTTCCCATTCTGGCCCCCCAGCTCCCCTCCCCACTCCCCACACTTAGCCCCCTCATCTGTAGCAACTCAGCAGGTCTCTTAGATTACCAGCTCCCATACCACCAAAGGCATCCCTAAGCTTGTTAAACCTTGGTTCAGGTAGCAAGGGCTGGAGCCCCACAGGGAGGGGTTCATAGCCTTATTATCCCCAGAATAATGTTAGAGCAGGAGGAGGCCCACGGTCCAGAAGAGCTGAAACCACCTATCACCAGTTAATCATTAAAGAAGCTCTAAGAAAACAATCTTCCCACCTTTTGTTTTATGACTGAAAGTCCATGTGGCTAATTCAACATTAATTTGGCAAATACATATTTGCATGCTATATTCAGGGAAGAACAGTTAGAGAGTAAGAGAATGTAGATTCTTATCTCATTGAGGCTGACTCCCTTTAATGTTATCAAAGTAATACTCTTAAAAAATGAAGAAGCCCATAGCAATTTTAAAAAGTTTTGAACGAAATGAAAAGATCATTTAATCTCCTGGCTGTGTTGTCTACGTAATACTCAGCAGTATAACTTCTTCCTTCTTAGATTATTTGAACCAGCTTCTAAGAGTAGAGCAAAACTCGCCAATGGAAAGATGCATTTATCTGATTCAAATAATGGGTGAAACTGGTACTTACACAGTATCAGCAGTAAGTCTGGGCCCTTAGGTTTCTGGGCATATTTTTATAGGAATCCTCAGGACATTCCTGGTACCACCTCTATTGATTCGCCTAAGAGTAAAACATGATTTCCCAGCTTGAATGGACGATTCCATATGTGTTTGCCTAATTCCTTTTGTATTCAACTTGCCCATTTTCCCTCCTCTGCCCTGAAGCCTTAGATCTCACTCCATTTCACTGGGACATCTTCCTCCTCTGAGCGTCTTATAAAGTTACCATCTGTACCATTCTTTCTGCAAATAACTATACACTACGAGTAGCCATATTTTATAATCACTCAACTCATTAACTTAGATTATTTAACTCTTTATGTTTTTTTGTTTTTTTTTTTGAGAGAGAGAGAGAAAGCACACTAGTGAGGGGGGCGGGGTAATGGTAGAGAAGGACAGAGAGAATCTTAAGCAGGCTCCATGTTCATCACGGAGCCTGGCGTGGGGCTCAGTCTCACCACCCTGAGATTGTGACCTGAGCCAAAATCAGGAGTCAGACACTTAACCAACTGAGCCACTCAGATGCCCCTCATGTATTTTTCACTTGTCTATCAACTATATTGCAAGCTCATTGAGAAACTGAGTCACCCAAAGTGCCTAGCACACATGTAGGAATTCAGAAAATATTGGTAACCAAAAAATTTAGTTCCAAAAGATCATGTAGTTCAGTATTAGCTAATCTAGAAGGTGATGCTTTTATACTGTACATGATAAACCTTTTTAAGTTTTTGAAACATTTTAAACACTATTGTAAAATACTTAACTTTTGCCCTCTTTTCTCCCTCCAACCTTTCCTATTTGCCCAACACCCCCTGCACACAGAGATACACACCATCCTCCTCCAACGATCTTCTTAGGATAATCCAGATCCCCTTTTGTCAGAAAGAACTAGAAATAGAAAGTGTGTTCATAGTAAGGTTTTGGTATCAAAATGTTTATTGATGTATTATTCATGTCTACCACGAATACTTACATTTTAAAAGAGGTCTGACTAGAAGGAAAGAAGGACCAGTGGGTAATCCAAAGAAATCAATCACCCATGATAATCACAAGCGTGACTTGTGAGCAAAATACATTGCGTGTAGGCAGTCTTCTCCCGAACGCTTTACATCACACTTCACAGCATAACGACCATTCTTCCCACCTGCACGTTTATACTTGGCTGCAAAATCTGATGCATGGTCAGGATCCAAGACAGTAAATCTTCACTGGGGAGACTTTCAGAAGTTGTTTCCCTGCTGCGTGGCCTTCACAACTACAGAGCTCTGTGTCTTAAAACAGATTCATGTTACTGCCAACAGGAAAGTGATGTCAGAGTCAGATAAGGAAGACCAAGAGGAGGTCAAAGCCTTGGACTAATGTGATCAACGCAAGGGTGAGGATGGCTCACTTAGATCCTGACTTTTGAAACAACCTTCTCTAATATTCAGGACCATTGGGATCACTTTGTTAAAACAGACAAAGAAATAAAAGTTAAATATGCAGACTTCTAGGAATTTTACCAGTTACTGAACACTTGCATCTACTTTACTTGGTGGGTACACAATCCTCTCTCTCATCTCCCCATCCTGAAACTCCCATTTATCTTATTTTCATGGAAAGGGTATGTCCAGAACTACTGTATTTGATCTATATTACGAGTATCAGATCAAACGGGGGTTTTATATGCCCCAACAGAGGTTTTATATGCCCCAACTTGAGACAGTTAGTAAAAAATCCTGAAAACACACACACACAAAAAAAAAATCTATATAAAATCCATTTTCCAAAATTTGGTTTATTCAGTTTCTGCAACACGTCTGAAGTTAGAAATTAATTACTTCTAGTTCTGCAAGTAGCTGGCTTACTGTTCCTATATCTTAGACCCATGTGCACAATCCCATTGCCAACCTCCCTCACTTTCAAAGGTCATTCCCTTTGGTATATATCGGGAAGGAGAAGGTTAAGTGTTTGTCCGTTCTGCGCTGTGGAACCGGCAGTCTTACTCAGGGTTGTCTGCTCTGCTCCAGGGCTCCACTGACGCACCCAGCTCCAATGAGGACCACCGTTCACTGCGCTCTTGGCCCCCATGTTGCTGGACTAACCCCCACCGGATGCAGCTCCCACCCACAGCGCCCACAGAGCCGTGGGTGACCCACCGGTCAGAACTGCATCACAGGGATAAACCAAATTACAAGGGAGGGGGGAACAGTCTTTAAATGGAAGAGCATCTGCCTCGGTAACACTCGACTCTCGCTAAAAGAAATGGACAGCAGGTATCAGTGGACGACTCGTAGTTTTGCCCACAACACTATTTGGAGAAAAATGTTTGAACAGAGGGAAGTAGTCAGGCCTAGAAAAGGGAAATTTTTTGGAAAATTATAAATTGGCAGTCTCCCATCAGCACTATGAAGAGTAAAAGACACCCTGATATTGTTATCGGCCAGACGGATAAATGTCTTTTGTAAAGATGGATAGAGCAGACTGTCAAAGCCTAACCTTTCAAATCCGATAACTAACTCCCTTTGTTCTGATTCCATGCTCAGTGGGAAATCTCTTGCCCAGAAGCAGAGCGTGTGCTCAGCAGACTAATACAAACATCAGTTTGGTTGATGATAATATTTCTCAATGTATAAATATATTAGTCTCTTAATTGGGTTTAGGCTTGTCAAATTAAGGATGGGACCCTGGACCAAGATAATTTTACCAGGAAAACTGGACTGTGTAAGCTACCCAGCCTTCCCCAGTGCACACCTGTCCACACCTGGACACCTGCTTTACCAGGTATAATGGTTGCTTCGCTGCCACAGCTAACAAGGTGATCTAAAACATTTATTACTGCTCACACACCTGGGGGTGTGGCTGGGGGCTTGGCTGACCTAGGCTGGGCCAGGCAGCTCTGCTTCAAGCTACGGCACCTTGGGCAAGTGTCTGGTGGTTGAGGCAGCTCTGTTCCAAGTGTCCTCCTCTTTGGGATGTATATGGTCCAGTGGGGTATGAGTTATGTTCCTCTCAGACAGTGACAGAGAAGCAAAAGAACGGGTGAGGACATGTGAGGCCTTTTCCACTGTAGGCTCAGATACCTCTGACTTACCCCGTTGGCCAAACAAGTGAAATAATCAAATACAGAAAAAAGGGGTGGGGATATACACTTAGCCCCTTTAGTAAGAAGAATTGCAAAGTCACACGGAACAGGGTGTGGACCCAGAACCTGTGCAGGATTGGAGCTGCTGTTATAATTAGCACATGAGGTTGACCATATGCCTTAACAAAGGCAATGAATGTGCTTCAACAGCCAGAGTATCAAAGGGAGAATTCAGGACACGATTTGGTTCTTTGGCCCAAGGTGACAGCTTCCCTAAGTTGTAATAGGTGTTGTAATATTGGAAATACATCCTTTTCAATTGTCATTTAGTAGCCAGCTCTCGGCACCCTTACATGTCTGTCTGCTCCCATCAGACCTTCACAAAACTCTTAAGGTAACACCAAGAGTTAATTGAAACTTAGATGAAGGAATTGCCGGAATTCTACATAGACTTTAAGCGAAGAAAAGCAGAATATCACATGCCAACTCAAGTGCTTCCCTCCACATGGCAGTCCTTGCTTTGTCTTGAGAACCAGGAGTTTCTAGAAGGAGTGCATGTTGGATGTGAGATATTCTAATTTAGACATAAAGACGTCCTGTAAAGCAGCTTGCCGTAAAGGTCTCCTCACCCGGCCGAGGCTGCTTCATTCTGGGGTAGCTGTTCTTCCCTCTATCATCAGCTGATAAGGAAACAGATTTCCCAGCCCCAAACTACATTCATTCATTCAGTCCTCCCCCTCGAGAACTGCAGTGGCTCAAGCTGAGCCCCAAACCCAGGAAGTCAGACAGGGCTTCTGCGGGGATTCATAGCAACGGGGTATGGGGGAGGGGCGGGGAGGGAGGTGGGCAAGGAAATCAGACCCACCTTCTGCCACTTAGTACTTCAGCTTTTGGACAGGAGGCTCACTTTATTATTTGCGGTTATTTGAAAACATTGAGCTTACTGTAAGAAGCAGATGGAAATAGTATTGTGGCCATTTCAAAGAGGGAGCCCACACTGAGGGCTGAGCTGGTGAGGAAGGCTTTTTCACAGAGAGGGAGCATTCTTTCCCAGGGAGACCCTTCTTTCTACCACCAGCCCAAACCTGAACAATTACCCCTACCCCCCAACAGGTGCCCTGCAAAGGGGGAGGATTATTTCCCTGCTGAGTTCAAAGACACCCTTTGGCTTCGAGTGGACCTACTCTCTTCTCAGCCAGAACTCCAACTCAGCCACCTGGGCTGGACACTCTCCACACTGTCCCATAGCTTGCCGGCCAAGGGCACACTGCCCACTTGAGCATCTCTTCTCTGTATCCGCCATTCCTTTCTCAGGGGAGGCCCTGAGCACCCAGACTGCAGCCTATGGAGCCCCAGGGAGGTCTCAGCGCCCCGACTCTCCCACTGGCCCCCAATGCAGAGCCAGGGGCTCTGGGTGAACTTGGCCATGTCTGCGAGGCATGGGGTGGAGATGTGGCTCTCTTTTGAGCCACAGCGCTCTCTGCAACAGATTCCAGAGAAGCCAGACTGGGATATCACTCGGGCCCGCGCCCTGGGCAAACGCAGGGTCTCCGTGGGAAGCTCGGAGGTGGCGGGGACGCGAGGGCGGCGGGCGGGGAGCTGGCTCCCCTCCTCTGCTCGCTCCCCTCGCGAGGGCCAGGTCTCTAGCGCCGAGCACGCCGGAGGAGGCCATCAGGGGCGGGCCCGCGGCGGGGCTGCCCTCCCCTCGGTGACGTCCCAGAGGGCGGAGGACCGCGCGCTGGCTCCGCGCCCTCCCCGCCTCCTCCGGGTGCCGGGTCCGACGGTCCTCGGGAGATGCTGCTGCCGCCTTCGCATTTGCTGTGCACGCTGCTACGGGTCAGTCCGCTCCACCGCCGTGGCGCCGCGGGGTGCGAGGTCGCACCCGAGCCGGGCCATGCAGCCGGGAGCCGCGCTGCAGGCCATGCTGTTGGCCGCGCTGCTGGCGGGGCCCCAGGGCGCCACCGGCCGCCTGCTGAGCGGTGAGTGAGCGCGCTGGGGCGGGGGCGGGTTCCCGGTCGGGCTCCGCACGTGCACCCACTGCACCCCAGCTGCTGCCGGCCGTCCTCAAGGCCTCCGCGACTCTCTGGCCCACTGCAGAGGCGAGGGGCGTCCCCGCCTCTGCTGGTGGACCCAGCCCTCCTGCGCCCCCTGCTTGCAGGGGAGCCGTCGCCCCGCGGCTCTCGGCAGCGCGGGTCTTTGAGATTCCTGGAATCTCAAAGTCCGTTCCCCGCCCAGAGTTCTGGGCGTTGGGGCACATTGGCTTGGTGGGTCAGAGGGCAAATCTGCCCCAGGAGGCGCCCCCTCGGCCCGCCCCACTCCCCCCGCGCAGGGGCAGGCTCTCCAGCTCTCCTCCAGCCAGTGGGGTTGGGGTTGGGCGGGGTGGGGGCTCTCCCGTTCCCTGAGACGGCGTCTACAGTGGGGATTCTGGATCCCCTACGCGGTGGAACCCAGCCTGTTACTTCTGGTCTCCTCTGGGGGGAGGATGGCGGGATCCAGCTCTGTTACCAAAGCGCTTGGAGAGGAAGAAAGAAGCCTAGTTAGCGCGGGACAAGCCCCGCCTGACTCAGGGGAATGACTCTCTGCTTCCTTCCTCCTGTCGTGTCACTGCAGCCTCGGACTTGGACCTCGGAGGAGGTACAGTGCTCTGGCTTCTTGCCTCTTCTGTTTGTTCTGCATGTCAAGAGGAGGATGTCCATGTCTCTTTCTCAGGTTTTCCGGGCGCGGAGAGACAGGCCATGGGGGTGGCGGAGAATGACAACCTCTACTCCGTTATCCCGGCTTGCAGAGCCGATGGAAAGGATCTGAAGTGTGTCTCAGGATGGGAGTGGGCTGCGAGGAGGAGGTGGTGTGTGCATCTGAATTAAGCTGCCTGGGTTAGGGCTGCATGGGCTTTGTCCTAGGTCGTGGGGAACAGAAGACCCGCCCTTCCCCTTCCTGCAAATGAGAAGAGAAAGACACTTCCTGAAGGCAGGGGAACCAGATGCGCCTCAGGCATCCTTCCAGCTCTGGCTCTCTCTCGCACTCACCCGCAGACTTGCGATGTGTGGCCAGGCTGGACCATACAGGAAACCCGTTTAAGGTGTGATGTTTTCCCTTGATAAACAAATGGTAGAAAAAGGAGGTCTACCAGGAAATTTAACTCCACCTCACGTTATGCCCGTGGCCCCGCGGGAGGTACCTGGAGCTCATTTTCCCTCTGCCGCCTCATTTGGAGCCACCTTGAAGGAATCACAAGAGCTGGGCTGGCCCGGTCTTCTCCCCAGGCAGCACGCCAGCCACAGCCTCTCTGGCCAGTGGACCCCATTCTCTCTGGAACAACGTCATCTTGAAAATGTCCTGCTTTTGAGGCCTCCTAATTTGCCGATGGGCCAATCCTGTTAGAGTTCTAGCAATAGCAGAATAGCAGAGGAAGGGAGAAGATGCAAAACTCTTCGAACCTGTTGCTTATTGAGACTTTCCTTATAAAAGCAGTAAAAGAAGCAGTAGAAACAAGACTTCCCAGGAGTCTCCCGGATTAGCTGCATGTGCTCTGGTCCCGTTTAGCCCTGAAAATGCAGTCCACGGTCAGTAGCTTTTGCCCCGGATTCTGGTCAGTGTTGGGAACGATGAATGCTCTCTGGTTCCCTGCATGGCTGCAAAACAAATTAGGAAAATGAGAACATCCCTTGGGGGCTGGGAAGAGGTTCCCAAACCAAAATCCTTCATCCTTTCTCGGTGGTAGCAGTTCACAGCCACAGCCCACAATCTGGCTCTCGCCTTGCGAGGGACTTCCCTTGTTGAGATTTGGTTTTCACTTGTGCATTTGGGTCCAGAAGCATATGCTGCGTGCTTCTGCAGGCTAGGAATTGGCGTTTGTTTCTGTATTCCCGGCACCTAGCACAGTGCCAGGCACAGAGCGTCTACGCAGTGCGTGTTGATGGAAGGAAGTTCACACACAGTAAGGCTTCCCGAAGATGCCAGCTGGGGGGGGGGTGGGGTATGTACTGGTGAACAGTTTGTCCCTTCTTAATAGAATCCCATCCATTTGTCTAAGATGGCATTCAGCCCTTCGAGTGCCAGTTCCATAAGACGTGTTACACAGGCTCCCCGTGCAGCCTGAAACTGAGTGGGAACTGGGCAGCATAGTTCAATGGTTATGGGCTTGGTTTTGTAATCAGAATCGTGTTCTGACTCAGATGATGCTACTGATAGCTGTGTGACCTTAGCCAAATTACTTAATTTCTCTGAGCCTTAGTTTCCACCTCTGTAAAATGAGGCATACACAAGAGCTACATCAAGGGATTACTGTGAGAGTTCAGAGAGAGAAAGAATAGATAAAAATGTAAATGCAATTAGCATAGTTTATTAATTAATTAATAGTAAGAATTGAGTAAACCTTAGCTGTGTCTTTAGACAAGATCCATCACAGCAGAAAACCCCATCGACCTGATGCTCTTAGCTTCTGCTTATACCACAGCCTGGGCAAAATCTCAGCCTACTCTACAGGCAAAGGGTTCCAGGATAGAGTAGCCCACCCCCAAGTTCAGGGCATATCTCTTACCTGAAGGAAACACCAAACAGAGAAACCTCCCTCTCAACCACACCGCCCCCTGAGACGTCCCGATGAGATGAAAGAGTTCTATGTGGGTAGCTTTAAGTGGAACCATAAATCTTCACCTACCTTTCTTTTAAAGGATTGTCAAAAACCTTTGATTTTCAAGACCCGCAATGGAACAAACAAAACATGGAGCCCCCACACAATGCAGGCATCGGAGTTTAAATCACCACATCTCCATGCCGAGCGGGTATTCATGTGCTCTGAGAAGCTAAACGACATTATAGAGTCCACAGATGAGTCACTGGCTTCATGCCCATGCCACCGAGCATCCCTGTCCTGCGATACTTTGGGGAGTACTGAAATAGGTTGCCTTTTTTTTTTTTTTCCTCCAGGACAACCAGTCTGCCGAGGAGGGACACAGAGGCCTTGTTATAAAGTCATTTACTTCCACGATGCTTCTCGAAGACTGAACTTTGAGGAAGCCAACACAGCCTGCAGGAGGGATGGGGCCCAGCTAGTCAGCATTGAGTCTGAGGACGAACAGAGACTGATAGAAAAGTTCATTGAAAACCTCCTGGCGTCTGATGGTGATTTCTGGATTGGGCTCAGGAGGCATGAAGAGAAGCAAAGCAATAGCACAGCCTGCCAGGACCTTTATGCGTGGACGGATGGCAGCACGGCAACATTCAGGTAAGTGTGGAGAACCCGCAGCAGCTCACCCACTTGCCGTAACTCAAAAAGGAGGTAGGCTGAACCCACGGTGCCCGGTGCAGAGGAAGAGGAGAAGGCCCAGCCAGGCAAAGCCCGGAGAGGATAGCACTGGCCAAAGCTGGGAGGTGAAGGGGGTCAGTCAGTCAGCCTGGTTCTGTGTCCAACTCCTGTCCCAAGAGCTCTGTCCAGGTAGATGTGGCCCAGGAGCATTGTTTGAACAGCACGTGGTGCTTGAAGTCAGAGCTTCTGGCTACCAGCCTTTTGAATTAGAACCCCAACCAGAGATTGAGGGTCTGTGGAGCTAGGACTCTATTAGGGCTCCAGGTCACAGGGAGTGGACCTAGATGGGCCGAAGGGGGACTTAAGGAAGCCTGCATTTTGGAGGATCCTCCTAAACCCACGGCATCAGGACTCATTCATTTCACACCTTACCCTGGCACCACAGTGGCCTTGCCATCGTCCCTCCCAAAGAAACCCAGTGACAGGGACAAACATCAAAAGATAGCAAAGTTAAAAGGCAGACATAAGTTAAAACAGAAGTTAGTTAAAACAAAGTTAAAAGGCAGACATAAGACCAGAAAAATGTAATGAATTAGGGAGTAATTATCTTTTTACAATAGAGTTGATGTAAGTCATTAAGACACTAAAAGTTTATGTAAGTCAATAAACCCCAAAAGATAAAGAGGCGAAAGACCTGAGCAGTTGAAAAATAGAAAATCTAACGGTAAATGATCCCATGGGGGGAAAAAAAGTTTAAACTCATTATCAACCAAAAGAATGCTGATGAAAATATGTTTTTTACCCGTGTCTACCAATTATGCCAATCAGATCCACATCTTCCTTCTAGGTGCCAGGGGCGGCCCCTCCAGGGTTCTCGTGGGCTTCTCTTCCTGGAAAAAAACCTTAAAAAGGAAAGGGAGGGGGGCACCCAAGTGGCTCAATCGGTTAATTTTATCTCAGGTCTTGATTTCCAGATTGTGAGATCGAGCACTGTGTCAGGCTCCATTTGGGCGTGGAACCCATTTAGGGGTTCTCCCTCTCTGTCTCTCTCCCTCTCCGTCTGTGGGCCCCCTCTCTAATTAAAAAAAAAAAAAAACCAGAAGGTTAGTAGGATGAACTACAATGCCCACCACTCTAGCTAGTCCCCGGACCCCAGCTAATACTCACTGACCTCCCTCCTCTACTATCCAGTCTAGATTCCCCTCACTCTCTGCTCAGGGAGCCTCAGTGTCTGACCTTGTGGCAGGACTCAGACCCTCCGCCCTGAGGTATGCGAGGACCCAGTCAATGTGCACTTCTCGGGCTAGAGTGATAGCACTTTCCCATTTACCATTGAAATTGGGTATGTGAAGACCCACAGGAACCCTAGTAGATAACTGGATGCCAAACATATTTCTTCCTGCCCCAAATGGGGGACTGCATAGCTTCTTCCTCCTGTGATTAGGGCTGGTTACTTCCTACAAAGATAATCACTGCTCTTCTTGCCTGCTGGTCTCTGGACACAAGGGTCCCAGAGCGCCCAAGTGGCAGCCATCACTCATAGTATAAGTCTTTTCCTATATCTTCTGGTGGAAGTATTTCGCCTTTGGGTAGCGAGACATCTAAAACTTATAGAGCCTAGCATTGCAGAGACAAGAAGCACAAATTCCCCAAGTGGGTCACTACTAGTGATGGTGAGCAATGCTACTCCTGTTTCCACCCATTGGCTCCCAGACCCACGTGTTCTTACTTTTGAGGACACAGAATAATACAAAGGTCATTGATTCAAAGTGTGCACTGAGTCTTGAAGGACAATACCTCCTCCTAGCAAGTATTCCCTCTCAGCTAGGGCTTCAGCTATGTTGTCAACAAATTCTTCCATCATTCTGTCAGGCTAGCAACTTCCAGATGGTGCAACACGTGACATGCCTAGTAAACCCAGCTAGATGACCAGCCTACTTCCACACCTCCTTTGCTATAAAGTAGGTCCCTTGGTCTGATGAGGTGTTATTTGGCATTCTGTGCCAGTAGATCAAATAATGGGTAGTGACTAATGACTGAGGCCCTGAGGCAGGAAAGGCAAACCCACACCCAGGCTGTAGGTCTATTCCCGTCAAAGGGAATCATTGCCCTTTTCAGAATGGAAAGAGTCCAGTGTAGTCAACTTGCTCCCCAGTGCCAGGTTGGTGTCCTAAGGCTGGTGTTCCTTCAGGGACTTAGCTTTGGTCTCTGCTGCTGGCAGGTTAGATGTTTGACAGGAGCTTGATGAGCCTCAGTGAGAGGAGATGAACACTGTTGAGCCCACGCAGACCCTCCATCCTTGCCACCATGGCTACTCCAGTCCGTAGCTGTTGTGTGAGCACTGGGGCGGCCAGTCCCAGGCTAACTGACATCAACTAGCCGAGTCACTTGTCTCCTTGCCTGTTTAGTGCCTCTTCCATGTTAGATGCTTTCCGGTGGGTTTTACCTTGTGATAGAGCCTCACACTTCCTGCCTATTCCCATATGTCTGTTTGCATCACATCACTCTGTCCAAGAGCTCTGCTCCCCATCCCCAGTCTTCACCTCTTTCTCCGCTTAGACTCCTGATCAGCTGGCCAAGCTCTTGCTTTACCCCTGAGTCCGTATAGAGTCTAACCTCCAGGAACTTCTCTTGCCATGCAAGCTGGTTCACTGGGCGCACCATCTGAGCTGCATCCATGGGGAGGAGGTCCCCTCACCCCTTGATCTTTCAAGGCCAACTCTGAGTGGGGTCGGCGTGCAGCTGCTGTCCTGTGGAGCCGTACTCCCATACTTGGCTGTCCTATCCATGAAGAGAACTTGGGCAGCCTTTGTCAAGTGTCATAAGGGATTCCCTTGTGCAGGGATAGGTGGACACTGAGGGAGAGGCCGTGGAGCGACAGTGGGAGATGCCTTACAGTGCTCTGCCTGCTCGTACAGTGCTCTCTGGTCCTGGATAGACCCCTTCCACCTTAGAATGGATCGCTCCTGGGCCTGCCCAGCCCGGGACTAGGTGTGTCTGACAGCATCTCACTCACGATGGGCAACTTGGGTTGCACGGTTTTTTGATGCTCCTCACCTAGTAGCAAGCCAGGATTGTTTTACAAAAGGTGATTATTTCTCACCTACAGATAACATGACCTTGCTATAGAATCCTAGGGGTCTACATTGTGATTCTCTCTTTGGGGCTTGCCACAAATTCTCTGTGGTGTTTCTTCCCATCCCTGATACCTCTACTAATGGGATCTCCTCGATCATAGGCCCAGCTGGCAACTCTGCTTACGCCACAGTCCAGAACCTGCTTCAGGGTCTTTTGTAGCTCTGGACCTCACTCAAAACTGGCTGTCCTTCATGCCAGCTGAAATAGGGGCCAGAACAGTATACCCAAGTGTGAAATATGCTGCCTCTAGAACCCAGAGAGGCCTACGAGGTGCTATGCCCCCTCCTTCACATTATTGTGAGATGTTTCAAAGATGCAACATTTGTCCTTTAATGTGAAAGGGAAGCTCCGGCATTCCCTAGATCACTAGAAACCTACCATTTTTGGATGGGTTTCTAGTGATCTAGAAACTATGATCTAGATCTAGTGATCTAGAAACTAGTGACCTAGCCTGAAGTGGCAGGCTCTTGAATCTTCACGGAGTTTATCTCTAACCCCCTGGACACGTGAGTGTCTTCCTAAGCTTACCCTATTCAATAGCATGTCAGAAATATGGTAGACCTGTGTGATTTTCCACGAGATGTCTAGGGAGTCCAGGTCTCCTCACACCACACTATGACAGAGGGTTCGAAAATTAGTATAGGCCCGAGGCAAAACCACAAATGTATACCGTTGTCTATTCCAAATGAACGCAAACTATTTCTGACTCTCCTTCTGATGGAAAATATTATGTTCCCTGGACCTGCATATTAAGTAGCCAAGAGCATGTTAACCTGCTCAAGCAAAGACACCACATATGGCACAGCAGCTGTAATTAAGGCTTCTACCTAGTTGTGTTTCAACTACTCTGGTGTCCTCCTTCAGGGTCTGCGTGGTGTTTGCAGGGGCCAGTCCGGTGAACTAACTAGACATATGCTGGAGACTCCCCCACCCTTGCATTCTCCGATCTTCAAGGGTGGTACTACTTTCTGTCATCTTCCCCTGGATAAGATATTGGTTTTTATTTATTACTTGGGAAAGGGGTGGCGGGGAGTGCAGTTTCAGAATCTTGCACTTGATCTCGTCCACTATTACGGCTCTTACTCGTAGGCTAAGGAACCAATGTGGGACTATACCAGATACCAAATACGGCTGTTCAAGTCATGTATTTGGGGACTGGGGAAATGACCACTGGATGGGCCCCACCATCAGCTGGTCCTGGGCCAGAATTCCATTGACTCCCTGGCCTCCATAGGCTCCCACTCAAATGGGTAGCCCCAAGGACACTCCAAGTCTTCAAATTTCAGTGTCACCTTGCATCCTATGCCCAACAGAAGGAAGCGACTCAGGTAACCACGCAGTGGTCTCTGAAGCCCAGGCTGGAGTCAGTGCGTGCAGTGACCGTTCACAGCATCGGGCTCTCTATGGAATCCAAGGCCTTGCCCTGGCATCCTTCTAGCCAACTGGGTGGTAGCACCATTTATTCCAAGTGTCACTGGATAGTGGAGCTTGGGCTGCACCCCATCCAGGAGCAAGAATGACAAAAGACGAGGAATCTGGTAGCAGAGGCAGAAGGAGGGACCCACCTGCCTGATGAAGTGGAAACAACTTAAAACCGGACAAAGACTATGTGGGCCTTCTGCTCCAGTCCCCCCCGCCCCCCGCCACCTGCTTTCAAGGCCTCTGCATTTTGGAAAGCCTTGCTCAGATTGCTGGCATTTTCCATTTACTTCCCCCGGGCTAGAAAGGCAGTCTTGACGCTTGAAAAGCACAAAGAGTCGTGAGCCAGGCAAGCTCTGGCTGAGATAAGCCAGGCCTCTTCTTAGTGCATCTGATTTCTGAAACAAAGGGAAACAAAAGCCAGTTAGGAAAAGGCAAGGAATACGCTCTCCCAGACGGGCCCTGCTAGCTGCTTTTTCTCATAATTACTCCGCAGATATCATACGGTAATATATTCCTCCCTACAAAGAGGTTGTGGTGAATGTCAGATGATTGATTGTGATGTCCATGTTAGAAAGCACGTGATTCTACTTATTGGCAGGACTTCAATTCCTGCCCCCCTCTGTGTTGTCTTCTGAAGCAGAGCCCTAAGTTCAGGGCTCAGCAGAACTTGAAAGGAAAATAAAGGTTTTGAAGTCTTGGGGTTTCCTCCCCCAGTGGTCTCCATTGTTGACCCCTTTCCTCCAGGAACTGGTATGTGGATGAACCTTCGTGCGGCAGCGAGGTCTGCGTGGTCATGTACCATCAGCCGTCGGCACCTGCTGGCATCGGGGGCCCCTACATGTTCCAGTGGAATGACGACCGGTGCAACATGAAGAACAATTTTGTTTGCAAATATTCCGATGGTAACAAATCCCTCCCCAAGTCATATGGCTGAATTCTCAGCTTCCTCTCTTACTTCACGCACAACTACTAGTTCCCAGAATTTGTTACGTGGTCTCTGAGAAAGGTTGTTGCAAATGCACGGCTGGGGAATGCAGTCACAATTCCTTACTGAGGCATACTCCTAGCAAGGGAGAGGGGGGTCTGATGCCAAGAGAAGGGATAAAGAAAGGAAAGGGCCTAATTTATGTATGACAAAGTGGAGAATTATGAGAAGCGCAGGGAACAGAAAGCCCTCTAAGTGGACGATCACAGATTCTTGTTCTTACCACATGTGAGGTTGACTGTAGGAACTTGGGAAAAAGAAGGAATGTGAAAGGAAGCTGGCCATCGTTCTTGGGTTTTCTAGCAGCCACGTGACATGATTTTCTGAGGCTTAAAGGAAATGATGGAGTCCCTCAGTTTCACTGGTAGTGGACAGATAGCAGTCACCTTAAGGAACAGGCTTGAACCACCCTCTAGCTATGCCTTGCCGGTTCAGCTGGCATTTGCTTCTAGATCTGTTCAGTGCTCTGAATTGGCTATAAGCCCGCAGTCTCACTCCGCTGAGGTTCCCCAAATGCCTCCTCATAACTGAATTAGATCTACCCTTGAAGTGAGTTTTGATCTGTCCCTGAAGTTTCTCCGATCCCCAAGCCAACTGCTGGGTCCCAGATCTGCACCATTTCCTGGCCAGAATAAAATGACTTGTTAGTTATATCTAGCTAAAGACTAAGTAGTCCTAAAATTGTTTAAATTTAACTGCTTTTACTATGATTTTTGCTGCTACAAGGTGCCCCCCCCTTCATCCTTCCCTTGTGTGCATTGTGAGTTGCCCAACTGCTGTTCCCTGTGCTTGGAACTGTCCTACCCTTTCCCAGACAACTCATTCTTACCTTTGGGGTTCGCTCTGAACATCATCTCCTCTCATAATGCAGCTAAGTGCAACAGGGATTGTGGATTGGAACCTGGACGATGATGATGGTTTCCGATAAAGGGCAGTATTGGGACGATTGGTAGAGTTTGAATAAGGTCTGTAGATTAGGTAACATACTATCAATGTTGATTTCTTGGTCCTGATCACTCTACTGTGGTTGCATAAGAACTTGACCCCCACATCTTTTGAAAAACATATTGAAGTAATTAGAAGTAAAAGTAACCATATCTGCAAATTTTTCTCAGAAAAAAAGTTACACATGTGTCTGTATGTGTTTTTCATACATATGTGGGTGTATACATAGATATAAATAAAAATATAGATCCAGAGATATAAATAAAAATATAGATACATAGACATAAATATAGAGAGATACAGAGAGAGAATAAATAAATGAAATATAAAATCATAACATTTGGGTGAAATATATGGGCACCTGTGTACTATTTTAGCAAATTTTCATAAATCTGAAATTTTTCAAAATAAGAAGTTAAGAAAATTTCCTTTGGGAAACCTCCCAGGGGCCCCTAAAAAACAAGTTAGGTTTTCCTTCTAGGAGGATTTTAGCACTGAGCACACACAGTACCTTAACTCCCTGTTTATAAGTTTGTCCCTTTCACTACGTGGTTGGCCTGAGGTCTGGAGACATACATGTTTGGCCAGTTCATGCCTGCACTTGCTGGGCGAGGAGAGGGACATCCAGTACCGTTCCAACAAGGTGGCACGCCATCTGTAATGCCAGATACGCTGTTTCTATGATAGCACGCATAATAGAGGGCAGGTCTATCCGGGCCAGGAACTGGTTGAATAACATCTAAAATTGGACTTGGGAACATGACTGCGTGGAGTGGGCACATGCTGGCCAGATCTGAGCCCCTGCTTGCTTCTGGGCTCTGCTGGGGGCGTAGGTGTCTTCAGTGAAAATCAGAAGCAAATCTGCTGAGGGGGCACAATGCAGGGCATCGCAGGGGCTGCTGGTGATGCCGCATTAATGTGCCGTGTTCAGTGCAGTATTCACGGTGGACTGAACCGTGGAGGGACAAGCAAATGAATAGGTCATGTCATGTTGTTGAATATACTACATGTTATAATGTCCTATGGCAAAATTACTCTCTGGGATTCTTAGCCTGTATTTCGTATGTTCTGGCCTTCCTGCAGAGCCTGAGAGCCAGAGGGGGCCAGGGATGTTCTCATTTGCTATTATATCACCACGACCTAGCACAATCTCTCTCCTTACAATGTTAGTTTTCACTTGAATTGATTGGGTTCCAATTCCAGCTCAGCTATTCACTAGCTGTGAGGTTTGGACAAGTTATTTAATCTCCTGGTACCTCGGATACATGGCATACAAAACCACCAGAATGATTGACGCTGGCTCATCAGGCTGTTAGCAGGGCAAATCGTGTTCATTTTTAGGAAACACTTAGAACATGATGATGTTTCTGTCATATAGAAGGCACTATATAGGTGGAGCTTTTAAAAAAAAATAAATAGGGACGCCTGGGTGGCTCAGTAGGTTAAGCCTCTGCCTTCGGCTCAGGTCAGGATCCCAGGGTCCTGGGATCGAGCCCCACATCGGGCTCCTTGCTCAGCAGGGAGCCTACTTCTCCCTCTCCCTCTGCCTGCCTCTCTGCCTACTTGCGATCTCTATCCCTCTGTCAAATAAATAAATAATCTTTTTAAAAAATAATAAAAATGAAAATAAATAAATAGATTTGCATTACCTTTGCACATGCGCGCACACACACACACGCATGCACGCACACTCTTATGGGAAGAGGATTGAAAGTTTCCTTCAGAAGCTTCAGAATAGCCTTAGCATCCTGGCCTAAGGACTGTGAATTCCAAAACCATGCCCTTTAAGGACCCCATTCCTATGAAGACCAGAGCATCCGATGAGCACGAGAGATTTGCTACCAGTGCCTTAGGGGGACACACTCCCACCCCTTGAGCTGGGAGTACGTCCCCCCAGCCCAAGGGGAAGATATTCTGTGTAGATTATCTGTGCAGCCTGAAGGTCTTCAGGCTCTCAAGACATTTGAAATGACTCAGGTTCTAGAACTCCAGTGTCCACCGCGGGCAGGTGGCGGTCTGTCTCCCCACCCCCCACCACAACCATGTCCACTTCCGGGAGATCAGTGTTTGTTACTCTCTGAAACATCCCCAGTGGGAATTGTTGACACGTCTTTGATTGCTTTAAGATAATCCAGGCCTGAGTGTAGCTGGGAAGGGGTAGGGGTTGCTTTGGACCTAGATTAGCCCTATGTTGATAAGGGTTAAAGCTGAGTGAGGGCACACGGGGGTTCATACCACTCTTTCTATTTTTGTGTATATTTTGAAATTCCCGTATTTAAAATTTTAAAATGCTTTTTAAAAAAAAAATACCCAAATGAAGCTGGGGGAAGGCTAGTCTTGCTGCAGAAATGATTCTTTTGACTTACTAACCCAAATCTTGGCATCTAGCAACACTAAATAAAGTTTATCAGATGACTGAGTGAGTAAATAAGGGGAGGCCATCATCTGGTCAATTTCATCCAGATGGCATGGAAATTTAGTTACTATTTTCGTGTTTGTTTCTTTCTACCACAGAGAAACCAACAGCTCCTTCTACAAAGCCTGGAGGTAAGCCTATCATTTGAGATTTGGGCTAATTTGGGCTGTTTCTCAGGCCCCTTTTATGGGTTTAGAACTGTATGTTCTTCAGATTTTCCAGCAGGAAGAGCGCTGGTGGGAAGTCAGACCATTTGGAGGGGTGTATGCCACACTCAGCCCCGCCAAGTAGTTCATTAATATCTCTGGAGTTGCCCACTTCTCCCAAAGCTGAAAAGCAACAACCACAAATTCAGTTTGGGATGAAACTTGTCATTATTGACAGTATGAAAGGTATAACTCGATCTAATGAGAAAAGAAGTGAGCCACGTGGATGATTTATGGGCCTGGAAGTGAGTCATAGGCCCTGCCCTTTGGCATCTCTGCGTTCTGTGTGCCTTGATGCCAGGCGCCTGCTGTCTGTTTCAGGACAGGATTCTTGGCAGTGAAAATCTCACCAGGAAGATGAAGACGGTTAAACCTGGAGGCCAGCAAATTCAACCCTTTACTTTTCTATCTTTATAAATGGCCTTGGTCAAATTGCTACTGCTTTCTCACACCCCCCCTACAACTTGGTGGGACCTCAGAGACCATCTGGATCGTGAGGTCTTCTACCGTCTTCTCAAGTCCATGTGTCTGTTTCCAGATGAAAGAACAGAGCCAGCAACACCCACGCTTCCGGAAGATACGGGGAAAGAAGATGCCAGAGAGACATTTAAAGGAAATGACGGTATGGACAGAACCCTCCCGGGGAAAGTAGATGGTGGGACCCTCTTGATCACAAATTACAGAGGGTTACGTTCCCTACTTTGTTCTTTCCTGCAGTTATTTAAAAAATGAACTAAACGGGGCATCTGAGGCTTTGCAGAAATTGCATGCAGAGTTGGGGACCATCTGGGAAGCCTGGGGAGAGTAGACCGGCCAGTAGGTGAAATGGCTGCATGAGGATGGGGGGTGGGGGTCGGGCACCCAGCAGTCCTGGGTGGGGGCAGGGAGAGCAGCAGGGGCAGGGAGAGAGTCCTGGGAGAGCAGCTATAGAGAAACAGGCACAGAAAACGCCAGGTGGGATGCGAGACACAGGACGTCCCAGCTTGATATCACGTGAAAAAGAAGAGGCGGGCAAAAACATTTTACAACTCAAATCATAAAGGATCAAAGAAAATGGGTGATAAACCGGAGTGCTAATGGAATTTCGACCTCCAGCCTCCCACCTGGAGCATTAAGAGGGAGATCTGGGATTGTGCCCCTGGACAACATTTAAAAAAACACGTCATTTCTCCGTGCTGTAGTGTCCCCTTTTGCATAACAGAAGTAATGGGGCGTTCCTCACCTGTCTGAGAGCATCACCGTGGCCCTGAAATGAAATAGGATATTGTAAAGCTGTGTTTCTGACACCAGCTACCCCAACTTAGGGCAGACCCCACAGGGGAAGAACTCCGTCCAGATGAGACTGTCCTCCCTACAGACATCAGTCACAAGTTCAGGGGTCCCCAGGCCATTCCCACTTCTGATCAGCTGGTTGTAAATCCAGAGCGTGCCCACAACCCCCTCAGTTTTGATAACTCACTAGAACAACTCACAGAATTCAGGAAAACGCTCTATTTCGGACTACATTTCATTGTAAAGCAGCCGCCTGACGAAACAGATTGGGTAATGTCCGGGAAGGTCCCATATGGGGAGGTTCTGCATCCTCTCCCTATGGACTCAAGCAGCAGCATCACCCTCCTGGCACATGACTGTGTCCACCACCCAGAAAGTCCTATTGAGCTTGGTGTGCAAAGACTTGGTGTAAGGATACAGCGTATAGTAAATATAACATTGAGGTGTTCTTACACAGGCATCATTGATACGGTCATTGACCATGTAATTGAACTCAATCCCTAGCGCCCCCCCACCCCCCTCCTGGGACATCTCCTCAGCATAGACTCTGATGTGGTCTGATGGGGCTCGTGAATAACAGTTACTCCTATTACCTTAGAAATTCCAAAGATTTAGAGCCTCTTTTCCAGGAACCAAGGACAAAGGCCAGTCAAATATTTTTTTTATTATACAACAGATAAAATGTATTGAAAATGCTTTGGAAAAAGTACAAAAATGCTGTGCAGAGATGGGTGGTGTTTTCATTTTTCGTTATTATCATGGCGGCATTTAAAGTGGGTTTTGTTTTGGGCCCTTATTGTGTGGGGGTGGTTGTCAGGTTTGCAGCCTCACAGGAAAACAAAACAACAACTTCTAGAAGGTTGGGAACCTTGGACCAGGGGAGTAAGGAAGGGGTCAGTCGTAAGTCCTTTGTTCTTCCTAAAGGCAACCATGACAGAAAATTCTTTGGTTCTAAGTCTTGAAGGACAGGAAAGGTCAGGCCTCTGAATGCCCTCCACAGTCACCGCTCTTGGCCCCAACTGGATCCAATTAGCCTTAGTCAGATTTGTTGGGAAGGTTACAGTCTGATTCATGTGTTTCATGTGACCTTCTCTTTCCTGGTAATGGCACTGAGACTAGCTTCTCTCTCCCTCCCTCCCTCTTCCCCACCCCACCCCACCTTGGGAGCTACCATTTCTGTCCTTAGAGCCAAAGACATCAACACTGCCCAAACAGCCCCTGCTTTTTTTAAGGGAGAACAAGGACAAGAAACGAGAGAGTCTCTTTCTTCTGGGAAAAAAAAAATATATATATATGACTAAATCAGTGCCCTTCTGGTATTTTGTAAGAAACTCCAACATGTAAACTTCTTTTCTCTATTACTTAGGGTCATAGGACAGTCACAGCTCAGTCACGGACTGGCTGATGTACACATATCTCCTTCCAGGAGCACGCTCTTTGCAATACTCTGTGTTGGCTCTGCTTTTTTAAGCCTGTTTTGATGTTCATAAAAACATCACTAATACTGATATTAATATGGTTTTCTTTTCAGAAGCCGCCTTGAATCTTGCTTATATTCTAATCCCCAGCACCATCTTTCTCCTCGTGGTCATCACGGTTGTCTTTTGGGTTTGGATCTCTAGAAGGAGGCAAGTAAAACCTTCATGTGTCAACCTGTGTGTCTTCTGGACTCTTTGAGATTTGGACATTGGTCTTTTTGCTTCATGAAAGGCCACAGCAGCTCCAAGAGAATTACCATTGCAGATTGGAGAGTAAATTCTCTGGTGGCCTGCTGGCATTTGTGCTTAGTTGTGATTAGGAGAGTGATCTTACAGCCTTTAATTTTTGTGGGTGAAAGCTTTCAAATGACCTGAGGGGTGAAACGGTTATTCACCTCCTTTGTAGCCACACGTCAGTCAGCAGGGTGCTTTTGTGACTGTAGGCTCTTACTCCAAAGATGTTTGTTAGCTGGTTGAAGGAATAGGGAGCCATTGAAAAATGACTGTGAGCCTTCTGGCAAAGATCTGAAACTGAATCCCTTTGTTCAAAACGAAATAGCTAAAGCCTTTTAGTTGACTTTGCTTTTCATTAAATATACAAATTCAGATTGCTACAAAATAGCCACACTAAGTGGCCTAGATCATCTCTGTTTATGGATCGTGTGCCACCATTTTTGAGTTCCCACTGCTCTTCTCAGTTGCCTTTTTACTCCCCAGCATCATACAGACATGGAAACATGTATGTGCCATACACAGAAAGAAGCTGGTCTGCCCATTGTACAACAGAAAAACTGAGTTCCAGTTGAAGATTCGATTCCCTTTGATGACCATTTTATGATGAATTTGTAAGATTTCAACACACAGTTGACCCTGGAACAACACGGGTTTGAACTGTGTGGGTCCACTTATACATGTTTTGGGTATTTTTAATAAATACAGTATAAGTCTGTAAATGTCCTTTTTCTCCTTTATGACTTTCTTAATAACGTTTTCTTTTCCCTCACTTACTTTATTGTAAGGACACAGCATATAATACATATAACATATGAAACATGTGTTAGGCGTCTCATCAGAAGTAGGCTGTTAATGGTTCCGTTTGGGGTCAAAGTTACAGATTTTCAACTGCACGGGGTGCGGGGGGAGAGTGTTGTTACCTGTAATCTCACTGTTCAAGGGTCAATAGCAGAACGTGCTTCATTTAATTATATCTTCCTTATAGGATTATCAAAAGAATTAAAACAGTTAATTCATGCAGAATGGGCATATAGGAAGCACTCAAAAATGTTAGTTCTTACTATGATCCTTTTTATCAGTTAATTCATGTTGATCTAAAAATAGAATTCAGTTTAAAAAATAGGAATATATTTCCCAGCTACTCACTCTGCAGTTGTTTTCAGTATTTTTGTTTTTTGTTTTTCCCTTTCTTAGTCTATGTAGCACCTCACCAGGATTTGGGAATTTAGACTCTGTAGCTGGGATTTCTATCTCAGGGATTTTTTCAGGGGTTTTTAACTTTTTTGCGTCACAGACCTCTGTAGCAGTTGGGTAAATCCTATGGACCCCTTCCCAGAACAGAATCTCTAAATATATAAAATGAAATAATTCTGGACTGCAAGGGAAGCAATTGTACTGATAAAACAATTTAGCAAAATATTTCCAAAAAATAAATGTGATTCGGTAATAGACATGTTTCTTTACTAATGTTTCTTTATTTAGTGGTGGGTATAGTTAGCATAATTTTGCAGTAGAGATGAGTATATCTATGATAACTGTGATGTGATGTGAAAAATCAGTGATTCTGTTGGTGATCAAGTCAAAGATATTGCTAATTCTACTCCAATTTATTATCTATATTTAGAATTGAAGGCAGGCTAACTTTGACTTGGAGATGAGTTTTTAAAAATGTGATATTGTTGGGGCACCTGGGTGGCTCAGTGGTTAAAGCTTCTGCCTTCGGCTCAGGTCATGATCCCAGGGTCCTAGGGTCAAGCCCCACATCGGGCTCTCTGCTCGGCGGGGAGCCTGCCTCCTCCTCCTCTCTCTCTCTGCTTGCCTCTCTGCCTACTTGTGATCTGTCAAATAAATAAATAAAAATCTTTTTTAAAAAATGTGATATTGTTCCCCAGCCAATTCGATCCATGGATGCCATGGGAGCTCTGGGGATCCCAGGGCAATCCCCTCTGTTCTATGCTGTGGCAGAAGCGAATGATAGACAGGCAGTCTTTTTCCTGTTTTGGCACCCCACCCCACCCCAGAGCCCTGACCCATAAGTTCCTGCAGGTGAGAAGGGCAGAGTCATGACTCCCCCGATGACTTCCTCGTCCCGAGCAGGAGACACGGGGATTTTCTCAATCCCCTCGTCTAAACTACTCAACGCGCTTTTCTTTCCTCCTAGGAAACGGGAGCAGCCAGGCCCCAGCACGAAGGAGCAGCACACCATCTGGCCCTCTCCTCACCACGGGGACAGCCCAGACCTCGAGGTTTACAATGTCATACGAAAACAAAGTGAAGCCGATTTAGCTGAGACCCGGCCAGACCTGAAGAACATCTCATTTCGAGTGTGTTCGGGCGAAGCCACTCCCGATGACGTGTCTTGTGACTATGACAACATAGCTGTGGACCCCTCCGAAAGTGGATTTGTGACTCTGGCAAGCTTGGAGAGTGGCTTTGTGACCAATGACATTTACGAGTTCTCCCCAGACCGAACAGGGAGGAGCAAGGAGTCTGGATGGGTGGAAAATGAAATATATGGTTATTAGGACACATGAGAAACACTTGAACGAACGGGAATGGGAAAGAAAAGGGGAGCAAACTTCTCCTGTTTTCTATGAGGAGAAGACTCAGAAAGTCTATGAAAATCTCTGATCAGGTCGTGGGGATGAGCATGTGATCTCCATTAGCCCCTGTTGGATCCCCAAGTTTGGCCAGATCCCCTATCCCCGATTCTCCCCCAGATCAACCTTAGAAAGCCTTGCCCGTGGTCAGGCACGTAGTAGAAGATACCAGTTGATGGGTTACTTCTGACTTTGAAGGGACCATGCTTTCCTTGGCAGGGAGAAGGTTGTGGCTGTGGGACTCAGGAGTCCCACCTCTGGGTTCTCTGTTTCTTACTCTGTACAGCAGCACGTATAATCACAGCAAGACAGAAATTACTAACTCTTTGCAAAGCCCATGTCCTCTGTCATCGGGCTGGCCTGTGCGTGGGTAATTCTAAGGTCCATTTTTTTCAAAGAATCAAATCAAATCAAAAGCAGGAAGCAGAATGTTAGTCTGTCTGTGTCTACAGCCCTTCCTCTGCCTGTGGCCTCAGGGGACCTCTTTTTCTTTCTCCTCACATCCAAACTTGGAAATAGCCAACTTGGAAATATTTGACAAACTGGGACTGAAATCCCCAGTCTCGGCTTCCAGGCGCCGCTGCGTGCCCAGCCCCGGCAGTGCTCGTTACAGTGCTGGTGTGTGCGTTCGACCCAAGCACCAGCACAGTGTTGCCGGTGACGGTCCCCACTCCTCCTGTTTGTCGTAGGGACCGGCTTGAATACTCTGGGACTCAGGTCTGCAGCAGAGTTTCTTGGCCCAACACCAGTTGTTTACATGTTGAAGGTCTGAGGGCTTCTATCTTGCTTTTTAGGCTTTCATCTCTGTCTTATTTTCTCACAGTTTGTCCTTTTGCCTCATGTGTGGAGCCCGGAACCAGAGAGAGTTCGCTGGTCTGGGTCCCAGCAGTATCACTGCCCAATTACCCGCCACAGTGGGGCGGAGAGCGGGGTGGACGACAAACACGTCACTTATGCCTGCTTCCAGGAAGTGCATTTTGTGGACTTACAACATTTTTTAAAGATTTTATTTATTTATTTGACATGGAGAGAGAGAAAGCACAAGCAGAGGGAGCAGCAGAAGGAAAGGGAGAAGCAGGCTCCCCGATGAGTGGGGAGCCTGATGTGGGACTCGATCTCAGGACCCTGAGATCATGACCTGAGCTGAAGGCAGACCCTTAACCAACTGAGCCACCCAGGTGCCCCGACTTACAACACTTAAAGCAAAAAGAGTGACCCCATGGTCTGAAGGACTGATTTGTTTGTTGCTCCAAAACATCGAAGTTCCATAATTGGGCTTCAGATATCCCGACTCTATAATCTGTCCGTTTATCTCCCCCACCACCACCCCGTGTCACCCTCCTCAGGCCCCTATGAGGCTGCACCTCCCCCAGGCTAGGGATTCTGTCTGTCCCATCAACATCGTACCACCTACACCCAAGACCGCATTTGGCACAGAATAGACAATGTGGAATGCATGAACAATTCATTTTCAGATCAATGTGAATTAGCCTAGATATGTCAGCCTAAAAGTTTGTAGGACCCATTGTTCACACTCTGCCTGAGTCGGGGAGGTCAGGGAGTTATCTTAGTTTAAAAGGCTTTCCTTTCGCCTAGGAAGAGGGAAGCATGGTAACAAACAGAAGCTGGTAAATTGCGTTAACAACATCCTTTATGTCACTGAAGCTGGTAACCAAAGGGTTAATGTGGCGAACAAGCCCAGCTGCAACTTTTTACCCAGGCCCCCCCCCCTTTTTTTTTTTAAGATTTTACTTATTTATTTATTTGACAGAAGGAGAGAGAAAGAGATCAAAGTAGGCAGAGAGGCAGGCAGAGAGAGAGGCAGAGAGGAGGAGACAGGCCCCCGCCGAGCAGAGAGCCCAATGCGGGGCTTGATCCCAGGATCCTAAGATCACGACCTGAGCTGAAGGCAGAGGCCCAACCCACTGAGCCACCCAGTCCCCTTTTATTTGCCTTTAAATTTCCTGGCTCTGAGCCTCCTTTGGGGGAAGGTAGAGCTGAGGCTGGTCCGTTGGGCTCCTCATCTGGTCGCTTCTCAGATAAGCTGTTTCCTTGTTGCCAGCTCGATGGCTCAGTGATTATCTTAGCGGTGCCTCAGGCGGACAGACGTGGGTTTGGGTACAAAGTTGGTGAAGCCACCTGGAGCTCCCCGCTCATGGTTCCTCGGGCCCCAGCCGTGAAGGCGAGTCCAGCGACCGTCCAAGCGCCTGCCAAGGCTCTTGGTCCTTGGGCGTCGCAGGGGCCGCTCCCCAACTGGGTACCTTTCGGCACCAAATGTAACTCCTGTGGCAGGCGGCTAGTCTGGGGCTTGGTTTGGATGGACGTCCCTGGGTGAGTACTTCATATGCGGTGGCACGTGACCCTGTTTCTTCCGTTTGGTTCATCCGGTGAAGCTCTGACTTAGGGGCTGGCACCCTTGGGGCTTCCTTCGGTTGGTTTGTTGCTGCAGCTTTTGGCATCTTTGAGTAAGAGTAGCCGTGCTGACTGGGATGTGCGGAACGATCATTTGATCCCCATACGCAGCCCTTGGAGTTGTATCCTCTTAAACTGGGTTATTATTATTATTATTTTTTTTGCAACACCGCTTGGCCACAATATTTATTAGACTCCTAAGAAAAATGACCAATAAAAGGATCCATAAATCCTAACCCCTCTTGCAATGGATTTGTTTTGTACAAAGGTGATACGTGGAGATTGGGGCTTGAAGATTTTGTTTGCCTCTTGTTTGTATTTGTGTGCGTGTCCGTGGACGTTGTGGATGTGCGAGGTTTTCCTCTGTCTCTGGACGGTCTTGCTAAAACTCATTTGTAAAAGCACTCCATTTAGTTGGCTTAAAGGCTAACACTTGTTTGTAATAATTGGGCATTCTAAAACTCAGAAAGATGGAAACTAAACCAAACCTTTCTCAAGTTTATGTGCCCTAGGAAAATGTTTGATATTAAAGCTAATTTCAGCTTGCTGGTTTCATTAAAACGGAGCTGTCTTCAGAGCTGTCAGCAGTAGACGTAGAGTTTCTGCTCTACCTGTGTTCACTGAAAGTCAGGCGGGTTTGTGTTCTCTCTGTTGCAAAATTTATCAGATAAGAAAAAGCGTATGGTATTTTTCTTCCCACCAGTTCCTTGTATTAGAGTTTGTTTCTGTTTAGTTTGTTCGTTTTTGTTTCAGAGAAAAAGTACTTTGATGCCTCATGAAGTTTTATGGGTGCTCTAAGGACCAAAGAACAAATGTAAATGATAATAAATGTAATTAAGACTACTGGAAATAATAAGGGAAACAACTCTTTGCAGGGAAAGCAAGACTGGTAGTTCAAAGAGGGAACACTTAGGACAAACTAGGATGTAAAAAGGAAACTTGTAGAAGGTTGGAAGCGGGGATCTTTGGAAAGGAATTCTGGGCGTGGTCAGGACTGAAGAAGAGTATGGAATATATATGGGAAAGCCTGTCTGGGAGTGATCAACACTTGGGGAAGAGAAAGGAAAGTCAGAGCAGATCAGGCAGTTGTTGGGGCAGTTGATACCATATCAACCGAAGCCTTAACTGGCTCTCTGAGGAGTTCCAGAGTGGGATCACTCTTCAAACCATCCCCAATGAGGCCAAAAGGCCCAGGCTTCTATAATAGTCATTGGATGTGACCAGCTGGAAAGAGGGCATGACCTTGGCAAGGCAGCTGTATTCAGTTAAGGCAGTTCCGAATGGCCTCAGAGTTGAGGGCTGTTGGCCACATTCCCACAGCTGAGAGCTCTTCATTCCTGATGGCAATTCTGATCAGAACCGCATATATCAACATGGGAGATGACGGAGGGGGAGAGAGACTGCATAAGCTGTTTTCCATTCCTCTTGTTGGAATGCATGAGTTTTAATATCAGAAGTACACTGCTATAAATTGGAGCTTGGTTTTTCTCCCTGTGGAAATGACCGTTTTCTTAGATTATTGGCCTAAGTTGTAAACAATTTTTTCTTTATTTTTAATCGTCCTAGAAAAACTAAGTTTCTATTAAAGTTGAATCTTCTCAATAGTAAAAGAGCTAAGTCTCGTTAACCATATAACCCTCTGCCGTTGCATTTAGAACCTTACTGCCAGCTTGGCAAATAGATAACTAAGTTTTGCAATGATCTATAATCTTATTTAGGCCTGTGCTTTAAAACCTTCTGATAGTATAGTTCAGAAGTACTTTCCAAAATTCAACTTTGTGACTGCTCTAGTTACTTCCAAGCAAAGATCAGGGTTGGAGGAATGGAACATTTCTGCGCCCATTCAGAAATATGCCTTCATTCCTGGTTGAAACCTCACATTCTGCAGTATCCGTATTTGTGAGTTCTTGTATTCGACTTTATCTAGGGCCTTTAGGGGAGGTTGGTTGTAAAATTTCTTCAGACAAGCTCTCCCTTAAGTAGTGGTTTCAGGTCCATCAGAAGCTTGCTGGCCCAAGCAGCGTTCTTTTCAGTGTTCTCCTTGCTAACGGAGTGTAGGGAACCTGTGGATTCTTGTGGGACCACCGAACAGCAGCATCTCCCCTGTAATGGGTGCATTGGTGAATATGGAATCATTTCTTCCATAAATTGTTCTTGGATAAGGATTTGTTGTATTTCCAGTTGCCTTTAGGGGCAGCATGTGTTTAAATCCCCATTCCTTCGCTCTTCTAAGGTCCTCCCATCCTTCCAGCAATATTGGGGTTGATATTTCGTTCATCTTTCTATGGGCTGTCAACTTGATGGCTTGATCTGCCCAGCTGTTCCCTTGGGCAGTCAACCAGCAGCAGCTGGTAGCGGAGGGGTCGCCACTGCATCAAGCTCTTCCTTGTCCTTGATCCGTAGAACTCCCATCTGTGGACTTCTCAAGGTTGGATTCATTTATTGCATCTACTGGTTGTTACTTCCTTTTCATTTTTTATTTATTTGGGTCCTTTCTCTTTTTCTTGAGTCTGAATAAGCATGTGTCAGATTTGTTTGTCTTTTCAAAGAACCAGTTCTTGGTTTCATTGTTCTTTCCCCCCCCCCACTACCTTTTTTTGTCTCTTTTTCACTTATTTATGTTCTGATCTTTATTTCCTTTCCTGTACTCACCTTGGGCTTTCTTTGTTCTTCTTTTTCTAGTTCCTTTAGGTATAAGATTAGATTGGTTTGCTTTTTTTGGTTTTGGTTTTGGTTTTTTTCCCTGTTTCTTGAGGTAAGTCTGTATTGGCATGGACTTCACTCTGAGAACTGTTTTCTCTGTGTGTCCAGAGATTGTGGACCATTGTTTTCCTCTTCATCTGGCCCCATGTATTTTTTTATTACTTCAAAGACCCATTGGCTGGTTGTTTAGTCTCCACATGTTCGTATTTTTTCCCAATTTTTTTCCTGTGCCTGATTTCTAATTTTGTATTATTGAGGTTGGAAAAGCTATATGGTTTGATTTCAATCTAAAATTTATCGAGCCTTGTTTTATGGCCTAATATGTGATCTACTCTGGAGAATGTTCCTTTTGCATTTGCAAAGAATATGTATTCTCTTGGTTTTGGATGGAATGTTCCATATATATGTCATGTCCATCTGGTCCAATGTGTCATTCAAAAGCATTGTTTCCATATCGGTTATCTGTCTGGATGGTCTATCCATTGATGTAAGTGGATGTGAAAGTCCCCTGTTATTGTTGTATTACCATCAATGTCTCCTTTTCTGTCTGTTACGTTTGCTTCATGTGCTCAGGTGTTCCAGTGTTAGGTATGTAGATGTTTATAATTGTGATGTCCTGTTGTTGGACTTATCCCTTCAGCATTATGTAACGCCCTTCTATGTCTTCTATTACAGTTTTGTTAAAGTCTAATCTGTCTCCTGAAAGAATTGCTACACCAGCTTTTTGTTGTTTGCTTCCATCTGTGTGGTGAATGTTTTTCTATGCCATCACTTTCAGTCTGTCTGTTTTTAGGTCTGAGGTGAGTCTTGTGTAGTGACATATAGATGGGTCTGGCTTTTTTTTATCCATTCTGCCACTCTGGTTTTTGTT